CATGGACCTGAGAATTTCCACTGAAACTGAGGCTATAAGGCTTGCTGTCGTGCCAGGGGACACCCCTCTCATGTTTTCAGTGTAAGTCCGTAACAGTGAATGGGCCTAGCCCCCCTACTCATGCTCACCCTCCCAACAATTCCTTCCTAGAGTTCATCATAAAAAGCAATAATGAAACCTCTGATGGTGTTTAGCAATGACAGAGAATGCTTCCAGGAGGGAAATTACAACTGGAAGATGTCCACCAGGATTTCCTATTGATTGTCAAAAATCCATTAAGTTCCCAAATGGTCCTTTGAGGGATTCCATCCAGGTCCCTGAGAATGAGCCTCCCCACTTGCCTCATCACTGTCTGGCACAGAGCATGGTTCTTGGGCCTGCAGTGTTGTAGAACATACTGGGGAAAGCACAGACTCGGGAGGAGCACAGGCCTGCGTTTGAATTCCAGCTGTACTCCTTACCAGCTTTGTGATTCTGGCAAGGCATTTATTAATGCCTTGGGTTCCTCATCAGTAAACCAGAAACAACAGAACATACTTCTGTTCATGGGGTGGTTGTGAAATGAATGAGATAATTGGGATAAAGCTTGTGGGACCACGTTCGGCACATGATATGGGCTCAACAAATGGCAGCCATTGGTATCTGTTCAATTCAACGCACATTTCCTGAGTGCTTATTTGGCACCAGGCACCCTCTACAGCCCTGAGTGGGATACAGGAATAATTCTCCCAAGAGTCCATTTTCCTCTTTGGAAAGGTTTTTCTTCAAAAAGGAATCAAGGAGAGAGCCATAGGAGAAAGAGCTCTTTCGTAACTAAATACAAAAATGCACTCTGGCTCACAGTTTTACAGAGGCAGTGTAGGATATGGTTAACAGCATGGATTTGGGGGCCATTCTCTGTGTGGTAGACAGAATAATGCCCTCTCCTACCAAGGTGCCCACATCCTAATCCCCAGAATTTGTGAATATGTTACCTGACATGGCAAAAGGGACTTTGCAGATATAGTTAAGGTTAGAGACCTTGAGAGAGGATAATCTTATTCTGGATATGTGGGTAGACCCAACCTAATCACATGAGTCCTCACCAGTGGGGAATCTTTCCCAGCTGTGGCCAGAAAGAGATGGGACACGGGAGAGAGATGCAACGTGAGGACTCGACTTGCCATGCTGGCTTTGAAGATGAAGGAAGGGGACTATGAGCTAAGGAATGTGGGCTGCCTCGACAAACTGGGGAAAACTCCCAGCTTACAGCCAGTAAGAAAGTGGAGATCTTGGTCCCATAACTGAAAAGGAACTGAATTCTGCCATTTATTATGCGCAAGATAATAAATGTGTATTGTTTAAGCCATGAAGTTTGTGGTAATTCATTGCACAATTTGAGGCAGTGTAGCACATCGGTTAAGAACATGGATTTGAGAGCCAATTTGCCTCGGTTCTAATCCCAGATGTGTCACTTCTTAGATGTGTGACCAGAGGCAAGTAATTTAACTTTAACTTTTTAGTATCTTAATTTCTTCATCTGTTACAAGAATAATAATATAGTCACCCATACTAGTTTGGGTAAAAGATTACACTAAAATAAAATAAAAGACGCTTACAGAGACCCAATAATGATGTAATTTGAAAACAAGGACATTTGTTTCTTTCTTATATCATAGTTGAAGGTGAGTGTCCCACTGGGCATTGGCAGCCATTTTATACAAACCAGGTGGACTGTGGCTCCACCTTTGTGAACAGGTGGCTTCCAAGGTTGCTCTAGTCCCCTAATAGCAGATGTCTAGGGACAGAGATGTCCCCTAAGAAAGCGGCCTGGAAGTGCAGTCTGCATCACACTGGAGCAAGCTCAGCCATTCCCCGTCATTTTCCCCAAGTTCTTGGGGGCCTGGCTCTCATTCTAACAAATTGATCATTTACTAAATACATACTCAATCTTTTCATATCTTATGTCTGATCTTTAAAACCAAGCATATTAGATAAGACTCTACCTATTTTACACATAAGAAAACGGGGGTCTGAGAGGCCAGGTAACTTCAAAGCCCATACATCTTACATGTAACCAAAGTATCTCTCCCATTTAAGTGATATTAAAAAGCTAAGGAGCAACCACAACAATTTAAGAACAGCAATGATCAGGGAAAAAGTGAAAATAAACAGGAGACTAACTAGGAAGACAAGTAGAGCAATCATTAGACAAGCTAGAGTCAGGGACGGGAGCTCTAGGGCAGCTCAGCCACTATCCGCCTGACCTGGGGACATCCATTCTCCTCTCTGGGCCTCAGTGTCTTCATCTGTAGAATGGAGTCTTGGACTAAATGATCTTCTTTCCAGCTCTGACATTCTGTGCTTCTATTTGAAAAACAGGAAGCCAAAAATATTTAGCAGGGAGAAATGATGTGATTTTAAAAGTTGCTCCAATTAAGGAAATAGCACGAGTGGAGAAAGCCCGGGTGACCGAAACAAGGAAATCAGATGAGCTTCCCACAGGGCCCAGGAGACAAGCTGCGACATGCGGGGTGAGTCATCTGCTCCTCACATTCCTTCCAAGGGCAGCCCCAGGTCTGCACTCAAAGCAGTGGATGTTAAGTTTGGGAGGGAAACCTGGAGGTGGAGGCTAACCCCCTGGAGACAGCTGGTTCTGGATAGTCCTGTCCTCAGCAGAGGCAAGCTGAGCTTCAAGACAGAAGTATGGGGGGCTCTTCCTTGGAAGAAGTGACCAAGAAAGGTGTCTCGAGCTGCTGGGTGTGTGAGTTAGCAACCTAGGCTAGGAGGCCAGGATGAAGGTCTCAACTCTGGCTTTGGCACATGGAGGATGTGGGATCATGAGTTACTCAACCTCCTTGGACCTCAGTTTTCTGACATGTGAAATGGATATGATCTATAGGAGAGGGGAAAGCTTACGATATACTGAACTCTGAGTGCCCAGATGGATCTAGGCACTCATCAGTTACCACGTTTAATGTTTGCAATAGGGAGAGAGAGATGTGTCATTTCATTCAACAGAAGAGGAACTGAGGGGAATTAAGGGACTGACTTGGCCAGTGGAGCAGGATTTGAACTCAGGTTTGTCAACACTTGGTTATTCCCAGTAAGCCAATGCCTCAAAGATGATATGTGTGAAAGTGCTTTTCAAACTAGTAAGTACAATAAAGTGTAAGGACTCACAATCCTGAATTAATTCAGAAATTGAGAAATTATGCAGAAGCAACATTCTGAAGAAGGAATGGACTTTTTCAGGGCTTTTTCCTTTGGTCAGCTGCTCACTGGATCCTTAATCGGTTTATTTTCTAGGCAGTCAAGTGGTCATTTTTTGAAGCGACTCTTGAAACAATGGCACCATGATGTAGTGAAAGGAACACTGGACTAGGAATCAAGAGACGTTCTAGTTCCAGCCGTGCCACAGAGACATTACTCTCGAGAAGTCACTCGCCCTTTCTTCCGTGAAATGAGGGGTTAGATTAGAGGAGGTCGCCCAGGTCCCTTTGCTAAGGCACTTCAGAGACTCGGGAAGCGAAAGCACCAAGGGAGCCCGGAGTGGAGTCTCAGTCTCCCTGTTACGTCCCCATTCTCACCTCAGGCACTTCAGCCTCCTTCCCACTGCAGGCAGCCAGCCCACGTCCGCCTTCTCCCCTCGTTAAGCCCGATTTGAGCCTGAGAACGTTTGGGGCCTGACGGGAGTTCCTCCCCAGCAGGAGTGATTACAGACTCAGAGATTTCCGGCGATCGTCAAGTGTCCACTCTACCGGCGCACACCAGCCACAGCCCCAAGCTGTGCAGGGAGCGGCTGGGAGCCACCTCCCCGCAATTCCTCCTGCTGTTCCAGTCTCCAGGGGTAGGCACAGACCACAGCGTAGAGGCGGCAGGAGGAACCTGAGATGGATTCCAGGGGAAGTCCTGGATCTAGCTATTTGCTGTTGGATATGCTCCCCACCCCCTCTTTTGTACACCCCACTGTTGCAGCAATTTCCCAGTAATGCAGGAACCTGTTTACCTCCAGGCTACCCCACAGTGTCCTTCTAACACACTCTGCTGCACAGAAGTGCATGTGAATAACGAAACCGGGGAGATAAGCGTGAAGGAGACAAGGTGCTAGTTTTTACAGTTGATAGGAAGTAAAAGTTTTTAAAGCATATTACTAGTAAAATCTAAGGAAAACAAGCTGCGTGAGCATGCGCGCACACAGCCAGAGCAGAGCGCCCTCTACAGAATGGCTGTAATTACGTGGGACGGTCATTTAACCTCTCTCGTCGCTGCAGTACTTTGGGATTAAGTAAATTGCCAAGGGCTAAATGGCAACAGTACCACCTACTTCCAACTAGTGCGGGGATTCAAAGGAGACACAGCTCCTGAAACAAAGGTAGAGTTCTCCTTCTCCACCGGGGAGTTCTTGTTTTGAGACAACCTAAGGCTGGTCCCCTTCCCAACAGCAGCAGCTAGTTCTAGCTTCCTCTCTCATACCCACCCTCCCGCAGTTGGAGGGAGGTTTCCAAATAATCTTATTTAGAAAGACCGGTGTTGATACTCGCCAGTTAAGGTATCTCAGGAAACAGCCGAGCAGCTATAGGGAATGCCCGCTCCTGCTAAAAAGTGTTAGAATTTGAAATAAGAAATCCGAGTCATGGGAAATTAGACAGAGGAGACCAAAGTGATATAAATCTGGAGCAAATTTGCACAAACTCCATCTTTTTAGGTTGTTTTCCATATTTTATTAAATTCGTGTTTTTAAAAAAAAATCACAGCAGCATTATCAAAGACAACATATGTACAAACATTTTACAAAAGAAACGTTACTAATATCAGCTGTAATAAGAGTGAGCTGAAGAATAGACGCTGAGTTTTGGGGACAGAGTCTGCCCTCAAACAAACACATCTAAAATGTGTTCAGGCAGCTGAAACAGACTTCTTTCCGGATGACAAGAATATGTGGTTGGTAATATAAGGATGGTAAATGAGGATACCACACGGGCCCAATTAGCGACCTCCTCTGCTCATCAGGGAGGCCATGATACACGGAGCTAATCAAATAACTTAAACCTAAAACAGTAAAAGCGCTGTTTCCCATCTAAACGCATTGAAGCCCTCAACATAGACTGTGTCACTTACAAACGTGGCTGAGTTGTCATACAGACACTTGATTCTTATACATAACCCTAATCCAGACTTTCTTACCTCTTCGAGTCAGATTTCTTGTTGGCCCCAAAGGGAAGGAATTTTAGAAATGCTTCCTTCAAGACGTAAGTCAGAAAGAGAGGTGACCCCGAGACCAAGATCTATCAAACTTGGTGGGGTGGGGAAAGGCAGCAATTTGGAAGGAGAAATGTCTCCTTTGGGCCAAGAATCAAGAAACGTGACTCACTGGGGTCTGGGCTATGCTGAAACCCGGTACCCCTCCCATCCCCTGCCCCGCCGGTACCTACAAGCTCGGTTCGTTTCTCAACTCCCCCAGTTCCTTGATCTCCACCTTCTTGTACTTTCCCGACTTCCTCCGGTTGCTGATCACCAGGACGGCCACGCCGGCGACGAGGGACAGCACGACCACCACGATGACGGCGACGAGGCCGGCGGTGAGGCGCTTCATGGAGAACTGGGGGGGCTTCTCGTCCAGATAGTAGATGAGGGTCCGCTCCACCAGCAGGGGCTCGCCGCGCACGCTCACGTCGAGGCCGCGGCGGCCCAGGAACAGCGACTCGCCCTTGACATCCCTCTCGAAGTAGTAGGCGGCGTCGGCGATGTCCACGTCGCCGGGGGCCATCTGCGACGCGTTCTGCTGCAGCTCGATCTGGATGGTGGGCTGCTCGTAGTGCACGGCCGCCACGAAGCGCGGGTGCAGGCGGTAGCGCTCGCGGAAGAGCCGGCGCAGCTCGGCGTCCAGCTCCGAACTGTTGAAGGCGCGGGCGGCCGCGCGGTGGCGCAGGTCAATGAGGATGTGGTAGGTGCGCACCAGCTCGTCGCAGCGCAGGCTCTGGTCGCCCTTGTCGGTGCGGCGCACGCCCACCGAGTTCACGCACCAGCACACCGCCGTCTGGTTGCACTGGCGGGCCTTGAAGCGGCCGTCCGGGTCGCAGTCGGGGTCGTAGAGGCCGTCGTTGTCCACGATCGCGTGCTCGCTCGGCCGCACCAGCGCGCGGCCGCCCTTGGGGGCGCTCGCGCGCGCCTTGAGCAGCAGGCACTTGGAGGTGAGCGTGGAGCAGTCCACCTCGACGCCCGAGCCGAGCGCGCGGCAGCGGCAGCGGCCGCCCGGGCCGTCCCGGGCGCACACGGTCATCTTGTTGGTGGGGCACGTGCAGTTGTCCTGCGCGGCCGCGGGGCCGGTCAGCGCCGCCAGGAGCAGCAGCAGCGGCAGCGGGGACGCTGGCAGCGCGAGGCCCGGGCCCCGCGCCATGGTGGGGCCGAGGAGCGCGGACGGGACGCGGGCGACGCGGCGCGGGGGCCTCTGCAGGCTCGGCTCGCCGACCGGGACCGGCTCCCGCGTCTGCCGCCGGCCGCTCCCTCCCGCTCTTATACTCCGCCCGACCTGCCCGGCTGGTTTGGCCGCCGACTCAGCCGCGGTATTCGGGTGACACATCCCGCCCCCCGGCCCGGTCCCACGGAAGGCCGGCCCGCCCTGCGCCGCCGCGATAGGATCAGGGCCGTGGAGGCTGCTCCCGCCTCCTCGGACCGAAAGCCTGGCGAGGAAAACCGATACTCACCTGCGGGCTGCGGGGACCCGCCCGGCCCCACCTGCCGGGGACCGCCACCCGCGCGGCCTCCAGCCGTGGACCCGGGGCGTCCCGGCCGCTCTCGGGGCTGGAATTCTCAGGAACTTCATTGAACAGTGCGGCGCCGGACTGTCGCGCTGTTGTCGCCTCCCCCCCTCCTTTCCTCTCCCTTTCCAGCCCCTGTCCCCGCTTTAAGTTCTTCACCCCCTCGCTTCTTTCCCCAGTTCTCTCAACACACACATTTATGTGGTTCACGATTCACAAACGTGATCTCATCCTCGCGCCAATCCTGACAGGTGTGGACTCTCTCAGACCCATTTCACAGGTGATGCAGTTGAGGCTTGGGGACTTAAAGTGGCCCAGGCATCAATTTCCTCAGATTCCTTGGCGGGGTCTTGAGTGCTCTGCTGACTGTTATGAGACCTTAAATAAAGTTTATGGAAACGGAGTGGTGCAGAATTTGAAGAAAGGTTAGGGAGCAGTTCTGTTACTCACCATGTCCTGGGTAAAACCCAGGAGTCCTGTGTCCAATCTCTTAGAAGTTCTCTTAAACACTTTTTCTCTCCTTCACACACACACACACACACACACACACACACACACACACACAATATTTATGCATGTACTCAGTATAGGGACACAAAAGGAACAAATTCTTAAAAAGAACCAGCAAGACTATTCGGAGTTTTTTGTACAATTTGATTCTAAAAGAGCAAATCATTGCTTTTCTTTTTCTGTGTCCCACATAAGTAGTTGAACCACTGCAAGTAATGAGAGCGAGGAGACTGTGGGAGGTTGCTTGTTTGCCACTGTGTGGCTGCTTTAATGGGATGGAGGGGTTGCAATCTCTTTTTTGAATCATTGAGAAAGTCCAGGGTTTCAAAGCTGTAGTAAAATGAACAATAATTAGCAAGCTATAATTATTCCCAGCTCCTCCGTCAGAGCACACTTTATATGTTCAGTGTTTCATGAACACCAGCGGTAGTACAAGGGTGTTGTTTAACACATGAAAGGCAGCCAGGCCTTTCCCCCATTAGTTTTCAAGCAATTCCTGAAGTGGGTAGGTGGAAATCTGTTATTCTTCCTTTACAGGTAGAGAAAGCAGAGACATGGGCAATTTCTTACCCACAGCACCAGGCGTGGTGGGAATACTCCTATGCTCTCTACCTGCACCGTCTCTGTTCAGTCTTTGGACCTATAGCCTAGTCAGGTCCCCGGTTCTTTCCCCCTCCAACCCTCAGTCCACTCTGTGTCCAAGAGGGCTTTCTAGATCACAAGTCTGTGCCATCTCCTCTCTGCTGAGAACCCTTCAAGCACAGAGTGGGAGCTGTGCATGGCTCTTAGGATACAATTCATACTTAAGTTAGCACACGAGTTCATATGACCTTGGGCAAGCTACTTAACTTCTCTGTGCCTTCTTCCCTCATCTGTAAAATGGGGATAATAAAAGCACCTACCAAACAAGGTAGGTGTGAGACTTAACGTAGATAAACTGCTGAGAACAGTGTCTGCACTCAGTAAGAGTAGATAGGTGCTCGCTGCTGTCACCACCATCATCATCTTCATTTTGCTCCTGTCAGCCTCTCCAGTCTTCCACGTGTTCTCAAGCCTTTGTAAAGTCATCTACCTGAAGTCTCTCTTTCTTCCTCTATTTAGTGTATAATTGTGTTTTTCTACTCAGCTCTTGGGTCACCTCCAGGAAGCCTTCCCTGATAGACCCTTTTGCACTCAGGGGAGTGCCCCTTCTCTGTGCTTTCCTAATTCCTGTCACACACCAGAAGGGCAACGCCAGCTTTTCTGGGCTTCTGTCTTCCCCTCGAAAATGGAGCTAATAGCATCTCTCTATTTCATAGAGTCATTCTGAGAATCAAATCTAAATAGACGAGCTAGTAGATCCAGAGCTTTGTGAACTGTTAAGACACCGTAAAAATGTTAGGCTGCATTTTTAGTTTTTAAATATCTATTTTCTCACATTTCCAGCTACTGACTAGGTAGCCACAATCCTCTACGGCTAGCAGAGCCACCTGCTTGATATTCTAGTGGGTCCCGGGCTGGCAAGAGGAAAGCTGATGGGGAAGGGTTCTCGGGGCCAAGGAATGTATGCAGTGGTGTCTTTGACTGCTTAGCAAGGACAGCCCCAAATGGCTGGGCCTTACTTGGGCTGGTGCTCTGAAGTCTCCTAACCTCTGCTCCTCCATCCACGTGACGTGTTGGGAGGAAGGAGATAGAAGGAGCCGGCCCTCAGTGTCCCCTGTGGAAGGTGGGGTGAAGCAAAGATGATACCCTGCACACACTTTCTTAAATTCTGTGTTCTGCCAGGCTTTCTCCAATGGGCACACAAACACCATGATGAGTTTATTAAGTAAGCACAGCCCCAGCTCTGATTCTCCCTCCTCCCTTGGTCCGTTTCCTCGCTCTGCAAAATATCACATGTTAGCTTTATGTCTTTATGTTTTTTTTTAATTTTAATTTGTAAATATTTAACAAAAGCATAGCGGCAGGAAGCCCCCCTGGGCACTGTAGCCCCAGCACCACCATACTTTTGGCATTCAGCAATGTTTATCGGGTTCATTAACATGCATTTGTGCCCCGAATGTTGCAGTATCAATATACTCTTCTGGGAGTGTTCATGTTGACCATTTCAGTACTTCTCTCCTAGTCCAATTCTCGTTACCTACCCCAGCCACGAACCTCTATCCCCACCCTAACCGATCCTCCAAACACCCAATTTCAAGGAAGACTGACTAACGATACCCTGAGTGTTATTTTTGCTTTTATGCATGATCCCTAACTTCTGTCAGCCCTGTGGCTCTGGGGAGGAAGGATGTGGTCTGATAAGGCTGAGAGCAGACAGGGGCTCTGGAGGCAAGCAGTGCAGGATGGTTGAAAGAAAATAGACTTTGGGTATAGTGAGACTTTGCCTCAAATTCTGGTTTTACATCACTCACTGACTGTGTGGTGTTGAGCAAGTTACTTCGCCTCTCTGAGCCTCAATTTCCTTAATTATAAAATGGGGTAATAATACCGATATTTCCCCAGTGTCTGTGAAAAGGATGATTTCCCACCTTGTTATTAAGTACATGCTGTTCCCCCATTCAACTTCATACTTCATCTATTCTTATGCTCTGTTTTCTAAACTGGTGTTGATTATCTGATTTTCCTTGGTATAAGACCAACGCCAACACATCAGTTTTATACTTAAAGGTGTGATTTATAAAAACAAAACACAACAATAAAACTATGTTTGATTAATTAAAAAAAACCTTACCATCCATAATTATCTTAATGATTCAAGATAAAGAATATAAAATCTGCGACACAGTGTTTGGCATATACTGAGAATTAATCTAGGCTGTTATTATCAGCTGTCTCAGGAATGTGACGATGCTCTGAGATCATTAAAGTTTTCTGCACAAAGCTGGCGATTGTGCGGACTGCTGAAGCTCAGGTCCAAGGAGATGGGCGCTGGGGACGGGGGGCTGCCTTAGGTCCTTATCATCCCACCCCCTAGAAGCAGGAATACGGAGAATATCTAGAAACAGATAGTACTTGAGCGTTTCCACTCCCCTTATCTGCTGGATTCCCTACAGCACCCATGGGGAGCAGGCAGGGAAGATATTATTATCCCTATTTTACAGATGTGGAAACAGAGGCCTTGGGAGGAGAAGAGAAAGACTTGCTCGTGGTCACATGTTTCTAAGTGGTGAGGCCAGGCCGAGAACCCAGGTCTCCTGACTGCAAATGGGCATGTAAATTAGCAAAGATGGAAGAGGACTGAAGGCGTGAAGAGGTTACAGTCTCATCTCACGTTCCTAGGGTTTTCTTTTATTTTTCTTTCTTTTCCTTAATGGTACAAAGATATTTTAGAAAGTTCTGGTTGCATGAAGAGCAAAAAATAGTTAATTGTGTAGGGCACAACAGTGAGCTGACACCTGAAAACCTGGGGCCTCTTGCCATTAACCAACAGTTCCTCCCACGCTGGAGGCGAAGTTGTCCCCAATGTCTCTGCTTTGATGCAGAAACAGCCTACATTTGAATTCTGGGCTTGCAGACTATGGGCAGGTCCTTCACCTTGGTTTCCCTTTTTGTAGAACAAAGATGATGGTTACCTCTTCGAGATGCTGTGAGGATTTGGCGGTGTAATGTCTGTGAAGCTGCCTGGCACCATGCTGGGAAGAGCCCTCACTCTTCTTTCTGGCCTGACCACGGTCAGCTTCGGCCTTTATAAGGAGCAGCCATTGACACAGTAGGCAGTGCCCTAAGGCCTGTCAGAATTTCCCTTCCTCCTCAAAGAGAGCTTGGAACCCTGGAGGAAACAGGTGATCCTTCAGCCAGAATGCAGAAAATGCAGAGAGAGAGGTCAGCTGTGGTGATTGTAAGCTCATGATGGACGAAGGAGTCCCCAAGAAACAGAAAGAATGGGAAATCAGTCCAGGGGCTGGGGAGCAGGGGTGTGGAAAGCAGAATAGACAAGGGGTATACAACTCTATCTTCAACGTTTCATTTCTTTAAAAAGGTGACTCAAGTATTGCGAAATATTAGAATTCGAGAGAGCCAGGGGATGGGTACACTCTCCGTATTTTCTTTTTTGCTATTATTACAATGTTTATAACAAAAAATTTTAAAACAAGCCAAGCCCTCAAATTAAGTTTTGGAGGAAGTATTTGGGGTAAAGTTTCTGTTTTTGCTTCTACTTGTCTTTTTTCCCATTTCCATAGTTTCTGTTATTTATATGAACGGCCATTTATTGATCACCAACATTGTGCCACGCACTTTATAAATAAATTCCCTATAATGCTCCCAGCAACTCTACAAAATAGTCTCTCTCGTCCCCATTCACCGGATGAGGAAGCTCAGGCTCCAGGTCACACAGCTAAGAAGCAGTGGAGGAGGGATGTGAACCCAGGTCTGGGGACACGAACACCCGCACTTTTCCATGACACA